CATGTCTAAGTTGGTAACTGATGTACCATGGTTTATAAAGAATATCATCCTTCTCAGAAATTTGGGCGTATCGTCAGCAACAGAAGAGACTACTTGATGTAACTGATAGTTTCTGTCAAAGAAGATCAACCAACAAACAGCGTTTATTAAATCTAAGATTTAAAATACTTATTGTTAGTTTCTATATTAAAGATACAGCAAAGGTACAAAAATGTGAAACACAAAAATGGAAGGGATCCCTCTATAGTGATGGCAGATGTTATTAGGAACTATTTTTCATTTGCTTCTTGGAGACAGAGTACAGTTCTTCTTTTTAATCAAACTATTCTTCAGTACTCTTCTGTAGTTAATGGATAATAACATTAACAAAGTTTACTGAACCTTAGCCACATAGGTTGGATCTAACTATAGTGTCTACATCAGTGTTTTGCAGTACGGAGCATGTTGACTATAAGGTGACAAATTGAATGTTAAGGGCGATTAATTAACTGAATAACATTAACATAAATTGTTTCTATAACCATATGGGTTGGGTAAAAGCATACTATCTATACCAGTTCCATTTGCAGGTAAGGGGTTAGAATATCACCTAGGTATGGCATAGCTTTCATGGAACCAAATTACGAGATAGCATGCAACAGAGTGAGATTTAGAAGAATTGTTGAGGCCCTAGTAAGGCATACCAGTCGTAAGAGACGATTAAAATCACGGTGCTATTCTGACACTCTTGAGAATGTGAATGGTAGTGAGTAACATTCACAAAGAAATGTAGTAGTGTACGCGCAAAAGAAAAAAACTTCTTAATAGAATAGGTGAATAAGGAAACAATGTTTCTTCCGTCGATAGAAGACAGATTGAAGCATTAAGAGTGGCATACCATAGATACAACACAACCAGTTGTCAATGATGAAATAAATCTAGTCTATAATAAAAGAAAACTACGTAAAAAATGGCAACAATCACGATTAATACAAGATAAAAGAAACCTTAATAATGCCACTCAAAAATTAAGAAGAGAAATCAGCAATTTTAAAAATGAAAATGTTAAGAAATATCTTACAAACTTGACTAACTATTCTCTCTGGAAAGCTATGAAAAAATATAAAAGACCGATCACACATAATCCTCCATTAAAAAAAAATAATAATGAATGGGCGAAAAGCAATATTGAAAAGGCACATGTTTTGGCTGAATATTTAAGTAATACCTTCAATCAAGAAGAAACCCATCATATAGAGCCAAATAACAACATAGATGATGAAGCTATTTCGCGGATAAAAAATAAAGAAGTAACTGGGGAAATCAAAAAATTGAAATTAAAGAAATCACCAGGATATGACCTCATAACTAGTGAAGTGTTGAAAAAGCTACCTCCAAAAGGAGTAGCCAAACTTGCACAGATATTTAATGCGAGTATAAAATTAAATCATGTCCCTAGCTATTGGAAAGTTGCTGAAGTTGTGATGGTACTAAAACCAGATAAGGACCAACATTCTCCAACTTCATATAGACCAATCTCTCTCCTGCCAACCATAGGAAAACTGTTCGAAAAGCTTATCTGTAAAAGACTTGAAAAAGTAGTTTGTCAAAGAAATCTTATCCCAAATCATCAGTTTGGATTTCGGAAAAAACACTCAACAATCGAACAAGTACACAGAGTTACGCACGAAATAGAAAAGGCATTTGAAAACAAAGAAACTTGTTCAGCTGTGTTTCTGGATATATCAAAGGCTTTTGATGGGGTTTGGCACTCTGGCCTGATATATAAGTTAAACACTATCCTGCCACAGCAATATTGTAAACTACTGGAATCGTATATTGGCGAAAGGTACTATCGAGTTAAACTACTTGACGCGTATTCGAAATTATATCCTATAAATCGCGGGGTCCCTCAGGGGAGTATACTAGGCCCATTGCTGTACCTGCTGTACACATATGATTTGCCAGTGAATCCAAGATGTATTGTTGGAACTTTTGCAGATGACACGGTATTAATGGCTACAGGTCCAAACAACAAGGTGTCTACCACTAAGCTTCAAATCGCTCTTCAAGAAATTGAACAATGGACAAATAAATGGAAGCTGATAGTAAACAGTTCAAAATCTAATCATGTAGACTTTACTAACAAAAGAGAAAATCAAATTTCATTATTTCTAAATAGCGTAAAAATTCCAGTTGCAAATTCTGCGAAATATCTAGGTATGACTCTAGATGCCAAACTGAGATGGAAGGTACACGTCAAGAAAAAATTAAATGAGCTAAAAATAAGATACAAAAAGTTAACTTGGCTTATTGGAAGGAGATCTAAATTATCTCAGCAAAATAAGCTTATGATCTATAAACAAGCCTTCAAGCCGGTCTGGCTCTATGGCGTCCAAATCTGGGGTTGTGCGAAGAAACATATAATAGATATGATGCAAAGATTTCAAAACAAAGCAATCAGAGATGCAGTTAACGCTCCGTGGTACGTGCGAAATTCTGATCTACATCGAGACCTAAAAATACCTACTGTCAAACAAGAAATTCAGAAGGCTGCTAAAAAACATTATGACAGGCTGAGACAACACTTAAACAGCACCATTCCAGCGCTACTTTGTGATGTCACTCACAGACGCTTATGCCGCTTCAAACCTAATGACCTTTTGAGGCGTTTCAACCAGCAAGGAGATGACTAGTTCGTATCTATATGCTCACCCTAGATAGACTTAGATAAATTTACTTGTAATAAAAAAAACCTCTTGTTAGTCAATATGACTAGTTGTTGTAAATTTAAACTCTTCATTTTGTTTAAATATAAATAATAATAAAAAATGATGAAATTGTTCGAAAAGGCTAATTTAACTCACTATTAATTGGTCTGACCACTTAACCCAATCAACCATACTGGTTTGATTTTGCATCCAAGTATATATATGTTCGACTGACTTACTATATACAATACATATTCAATATTAATAAAATGACAGAATTATCTACCCGACAACTTAAGATCAAAGTATATAAAATAAAAACTGTATCAAAACTATTTTTCCTTAAAATACCAACTAATTAATTTTTATAAACTCAAAACGTCATTACATAGACTTTTTGGATTTCTGCTCATATTTAAAATCTTAAATTCTGTACGTTTGCAAAGTTAAAGTTTTAAGAAATGGAGAATTGAATGGTGTCGGTTCTATAAAGATACTCCCTTACTTTAAAATTTTAAAATTCAAAACTTATGGCAACTCTAACCAAACTTTTAAAACATACCATATCACGTTACTCATACAGTGATCCACGCTGTTTGTTGTTTGCAACACGTTCATTTATGTTGCTGATAAAATTTGTAAAAAAAAAAATATTGTTGCCGCCAACAGCTGCAAACGTTTCATTACATACGTGAATGTTCTTTTCGACATGAGTTTGTCGTCAACATTTTCCCTCGTTTCCCACTTAAATTTCTTGGTGTTCGTATCGGTGTTGCTGTCAACACCTTACTTGTACACCTACGAGCACAACAATTGCTCACACCTTTCGCAATACTTACATATTCAGATTCAGATTCAGATTTGCCTGCGTACGTGTAAATTGAACATAAGTTTAGAAAGAAAAGTTTTAGTTTGTCAAACTTTTTGCTGCTGTTGCTTCTACCTCAGCAATTGCCACTGCTACAAAAATTACTGTTTCTGTTGTTGCATCCAGCATTGAGCATTGCTGAGTTTTTACTATTAACTACTTCCCGTTCTTGTCTTCGGTGCAAGTTGGAACAATGTAAAGTACCTACTTGTACTTCAAATCAAGGATATGATAATTGCCTCCTTGAAAACTACGTCTAACTTTTATTCTTGCATAATTGCGTATTAATTTGACAATATTTTTATGCTGTTCTGAATTTGAGTTAGTCAGCTAAACACAATTAAATTTTGGAATATAGATAATATTTCAAACATATTGGATTAGAGTCATTTTGTCAAATTAATGAAATTATTTTCTTTGGAAGATAGTTGTATTCCAGATAAAATTGAATTAGTACCTATACTAAATAAAGTAATAATTTATTTTATTATTGGAATCAAATTCACAAAAATTTAATATTAATTTATATTATATATTCAAATGGCACCAGGCTGAAGCTGTTAGTAATAGACAACTCCCTTCAAATTTCACTACTCCAAGTTTTCAGTCGTTTGTGGAGGATCATCGGCCTTTATACCGTGATCATATTGATGTTACACCCATTGATTAAGTGTCTTTGCTCTTTTTAAATGATTCCAAACTGTCATGTGATTGATATTAAGTACCTCCGCTATCTCTTGACAACTTGCGTCTATACCAGAAGTGTTGCTATGTTGCTATACCAGATCTGGCAAATATAGTGCCTGAGCGATGACAGTGGTGCCGTGTTTGGTCAAAAAATCGCGTACAACAAGAATTTTCCATAGTAAAAATCGCTAAATGCACTTGAGGTAGTCCCACATTAACAGCGGCTGTAAACAAACTAATTGACAGATGGCGCTCAAATTTGTACCATATGTCAAGAAAGGGTGTACAAATATAACAAAAAAAAATTTTAAAAAAGGTCTATTACTTAAGGAGTAGTTAACAAACAACAAAATACCGGATACTTTTTGAGCAGAAGGTACGGTATATTTTGCATTTATTTTATTTAAAATTATTTCTTTTTTGTGAGTACAGATGTTATTGCTTCGGCACTTAGTTTTACTAAGAGAAATGCTCAGTTTGATTTATTTATAAATGCATTTTCAATGGATTATCACATTCTTATCATTAATGATTAATATTTGTTTTAAAATATTTTTAATTTTTTAGCGAAATTATTCTCAAATTGTCTGAGATGGTAGTGTAGTGTTGAAAAGAATCTCCAACTAAGAAGATCTTTAAATTAATAGCTCGAAGCAAATCATATACAAGGAAATAGTAACAAACTTAAAGTTTCGAATAATATTTAATTAAACAACGAAAATGTCAAATTTCTTTATAAACTATTATATTTATAATTTTGCTTATTTGCTTATTTGCTCTCAAATATTATTCGGCAAAATAATACCGAATACAGTAGTGTTGGGTAAGTTTTTTAACGCATTATTAATTTCTATTATTTATTTAAACAAAAAAATTATGATTAGAAAGATATGAGTATGTATGTAATAATAAGGTTAGGTTAGGTTCGGAAGGCGCGTGCTGAAAGTTGCCAGCGCTTCCACTCGGAGGCATGTATTGCCAATTGTGATGTCCTCAGAAACATTTTGCCGGCAGAGGCGAGTTGCTAACCTTTGTAATCCTTGTTAAACCATTTGGTTTAATCTAATTTAATAACAAACTATGTGAGAAACCAATTTTGGTTTAATAAGATATATAATAAGATATATAAAATGATATATAAGTTATATCATACTATGTTTACATTAAGACTTATCCAACATTTTTATCATACTTTTATGTGGACTTTTTACGGACTTTTATGGATTAAGGAAAAATTTACTGAATATCTATTAAGTGAAATATTGAGTGAAATTTTCTAAATATAACATTAATTGCTTAATCAGTGAATTTGCAAAGGTTATCGTTGTTTTCAGTATATTTTTTTCCAAAGACACGACAAAGAGACTTTTAAATGGTGCAAATTTTAAATAAAAATCAAAATAAATTTACTGATAATTTTATTTTCATTGTAAATAATTTATTGCTTAACGCTTAAAAAAACAAAAAAATATGTTTTATAATTTAACTTCAAATTGTATTGTCTTGAAAGTGATTAAAATCTTTATTATAATTTGAATTAATTTGAATCAGTTGTACTGAGAGCCTTCATATTATTGATCACTTCGTCCATCCACTGAAGATGCGGACGTCTTCTGGCGCACTTTCCAAGAGTGAATATTGAATCAAGCACCTTTCTAGTCAGAATATTATCTTCCGGCTAACATATTATTAACATATTTGCACAATATGACCAAACTAGCGAAGCGGCTGGATGTTTATGTGCTTAACTATGTCAATGAAGCGATATAGCTCACGCAACTCATCGTATTATCTAATTTGATACTCGTTGTCAACGCATAAGGAACCATAGTTCTACCAAAGAATTATTCTCACGAATTCACCTAACGCATTTTTATAATTGCTGATAATTGTCCAAACTTCTGTATCATACAGAAGCTCAGCTCTTTATCACATGATAAGAGAGTTGTAGAGCATGATTTTTGTTTGTAGAAAAAGGGTTTTTTTCTCATAAAAAAATATTAGCCTTGAACTTAATCAAAATCTCATACCTTCTACATTATTAATATGTATTCACTGATGTGTAGTTTAAATTATCCGAAATAATTAATTAGTTAAACCGATACAGTTTTAAGTATTATTTATTACATAATTTCATTCACCATGTTTTTCTTAATAACTTCAATTTTATTTTTCTAAACAAAATCTACAATAATTACAAAAAATTTAGACATCGTCAAAAGTGTCCAAAAATTTAATCCACAAATTAAACGCCATTGTGTTCAATATTTACTTGTCATGTTGCTGACAAGTTTAAGCTGCCAGTAGATACTTAAGCATTAGAGTATTAGAAATTAAACCATTTTGCGGTAAATGACAGCATCGATTTGGCTGCTAACGTCTATAAGAGGAAACTAACTGAAGTGAAGTGAAGCAGCAATGAGACTTATATTGTGACATCTATGAGTAAAGTTCTTTAAATATTGTTGTCAAAAGTTCGTCCTGGTAGAATATGAAAAATTGAATACTCATTAACACAAATTGGAAATTAGTTGTATGCACTAATTACACAACTCAAGACCACATGATGTTGGTATTAACCAAAAATAGGTTGATTAAATTTCGCTACTCACAGTGTAAATTTTGTGACTTTAAAAACAAACAATAAATTTACCTAAGATACTTTAAAAAAAAGTTTATCGAAAACCAAGCAAAAGAAAATTCCTAAAAAGCACATTGAACCAAATACGTTCGCCTTCGGTTTCAAAAAAAAAAAAATATATGTAGGTATATATTTTTCTATTTTTATTTTATAATTGAATCTACTGTTAAAGTTATTGCCCTACGAAAATTGAATTAGAGCAAACCTTACTTAATACCTAACAAGGAAGACAACGTGGAACATCTAACACGACCTACACCATAAGCCGTTAATCAACCACTAAAATGACTCCTTAAATCTGACTTGATTAGATGTAAACTTTATTTCGTATACAGCACATTAACGTTGTAAAGATGCCCCCAGCCCACCAATGTTCCACACAAAAAATAAACATAAGCCACCAAATGCCACCACAGCAGTTGTAACAATTGTCATACCATTTGTCAAAAGAGCCGCGAATACTCCTCCTTCGACTTGCCATTGCGCATGTACTTTGTAAATAATTTAAATATAATTTTTTCTGCCCTATTGCAAAGTAGCAGATAAACTAAAACAGAATCCACCATGTGCTTCTTTCTTGGCACATGGTGGATTCCATCGAAAGTATGCAAAGTTAATGTTCGAATTTCGAACAATTTAAACGATGCTCCATTCGAAGTCGCATAGTTGGATGCTGCCGACCATAAACGAAGTGATAAATTTCGTTGGCGTTCGTTTGATTTTGTATCACTGCTGCTTGATTCCTTCTGAAGGATATGCTTCAGCTTCAGTTTTCAAACGTCGTTGCTAACATTTGGACGCGTTATGTGGGAATCTGTTATCAATCAAATTCACTGATAAAATAGTGATTTTTAACTAATTCTGTTGTGGTTCGATAAAATTAATTGAAATAAATTACTTAAATTAAATAAATAGAAAAATATTTAAAAAAAATAAATAAATAAGTAAATTAATTCTTTTATATACGAAACATTCGTATATTATTTATTAATTAATTAATGACAAATAGATATAATTTATAATTCTATTAAAATGAGTTTTTGTGTAAGATAACTCCAACTGCGGTATTAAAATGACAACTGCATAAATCAAAATATTTTATTTATAAGTGTTAAGTGATCTTCTTAATGAAATAGAAATGAAATTTATTTCAAAACTTAATTTATATCGATTTTTTCTGGGTTTAATTAATAAAAATGAAAAAATGATGATCGTCTTACTACTGATCCTTGCAATTGTTAGAGGTAATTTATTTTATACTATCTATTATATGTTATATATGTAATTTTATTTATAAATTAAATTTCTTATATAAATTAAATTTATTGTAAAAAAATATCTACAAAAAAAAAAAACAGAAAATTCTCTAAATAAAGATATCTTTAGGTTTCTAAATGTTAAATAATAAAATATTATTAATTTGTTTATTTAAGAATTTTAAACTAGTTGAAATTAAATTTTAATGTAATATAAAATACAGAAAAATATTCCATAACTATAAAAATTTAAAGATAGTATTATTTAATAAAATGTATTAATAAAATGAAATGAATGGAAATCATCATTTATTATTATAAATCATACATTTTTCGAAATGCTTTAATTATTAATAAAATAAAAAATATAAATATTAATTAATTATTTATTAAAGATATATATATTTATAAAAAACTTACTGCTAATAAAAATTAAATAATTTAAGAAAATTTTAGTTTGGGTAGATCTAGCAAGTAATTAATTAATTGATATATATATTTTTTATTTTCTTAACAACTTAAACTTTCCACTTCTATTAAGGTTTTAACCAGTTGAATTGCATCTTTCTACATAATTAACTACAAATTAATAGTAACAAAAAAAATTGAGAAAATTAATTAATTTATATATATTATTTTATGATATTGAATCAGGTAATATAATTTATTGAAAATTTAATAGTAATATTTTTAACTTTAATTTAAAAAAATATATAAATTAAGAAAATAAATTAAATAATTTTATTAAAAAATTAAATTTTTGAAATCAAATTTAATTATATCATTTAAGAAAATTCTAGTTTAATTTAGCACATAATTAATTAACAAATACGTATATCTTTTATTTTATCAACAACTAAAAGCTTCAAAATATATTATTAAGAGCAATGAAAAAAAGTATATAAAATAAAACTTCCTATAAATTTAAATATTAATGTAATATTAAGCAATTAAAAAAAAAAAATTAAAACTAAAAAATAAAATTGGAAATTTTTAAAAATAAATAATAATAAAATTAAAATTTAATATAACTTAATTTAATTTTAATTTAATTTTAAAATAAAACTAATTTTTAACCAAAATTATCAAATAGATTTAAAGTACAATTTTTAAATTTATTATATAGATGAAAATAAATATTAAACAAAAAATATTATAACTCAAAATAAAAAATAATTTTTAAAAGAAGTAACGAAAAATATCGGTACTATTATTTAGAAATATAATATATAACAAATAATAAAGAATTTCAAAAAATTATAAATTAAATTACTTCTGAGTAAATAACATTATATAAGTAAACAAACGTTACATACATTACATAATAAAATATTAAATATTTATATCTGAAAGTATCAAAAAGCACTTTTGAAAGTATTGTTTTAAGTCAAAGATTGTAATTAGAAAGGTTATTAGTATAATAAACTATTCTTTATAAAATAAAATTAATATACCATATATTCATTTATTATCTTACTAAGAATAAAAAATAATAGCAAATGTTAAAAATAATATTAAAAAATATTTAAATGTAATCTCTATATATGATATAACATAATAAAATATAATATATTATAATACAATATAATTGTTTCTCAGCCTTATGACTAAAATCAAAGTGTAGTATCTCTTCTTATTAGTTTAACATTATTAATATAATATAATAGATATGTTTTGCTTAAATATTTTATTTATTGGTTATATAAAAATGAATTTTATCTTAAATTAAAAACTACCAAATTTTAATGTTTTAATTTTCAGTTATAACAAATCAAATAACATAAAAATACATTATTTGTAATTAATAAATAAAATATAATATATAGATAATAAGTTTCATATAGAACTATGAAACAAAATAATTATTCCTAAAAATTTTGAAAAGTGTATAATGTTTATATTATTAAATTAATAAACGCAAATTAT